GACTCGACTAGAACAGTCGACCGTTCGAATATGCTGGCAGGGTTAATATGGACAGTAGAATGAGAAACACACTGTTAACCGATTCGCACCACTCATGTTTCGTGTAGATGCGACAAAACCACTGATCGGCCTGCGATAGTGATCGACACTGAAATCTGCGAAAAGAATCACAGTGCTGTCATAGACTTGGTTAAAAAGGTAATTTTCTTGAAACTGACACCAAATTGAGCATATTGCGTAGTCTGATCACATACGAAAGCTCGGTCATGTTTCCGATCCGGGATTGTACGTTACAACTGAGAATGATGGGTAAACAAAAATGAAAAGAGTTTGTTTTCGAAGAGCAAATCTTCAACCCACACGGTATCCTTGATTTGCCAAAATGTTTTTTGAGTGTTCTTTTTGTTTTGTTCTAAATCAGTCCTCCACGGGAGTTAATCACTTGGTCTTGACTCACTCTGATAGGCTTCATGAACATATTGGAATATTTATTGAAATAAGGCATGTCTGTGGTCGCCAAATAGTAGCCCTGATAACCAAGGTAAGAGTTCATGTAAAAATGGAGCAGAAAAACAATTAGAATAGGGAGTAGGTATGCAGTGAAACAATAAGTTGGTGGTCAACAAAAGACCGACATCACATGGTATTTCCTAAAAAGAATTGATCACTCCGTTTTCAAGACTTTTGCTGATGTTTGATAAGTTAAATGTACACAAGGAATCTAGTAATGATGAGACATCCAAAAAATCTCAGCAACAAAGAAGAATTTATGAGTTTAAAGCGATTCTTCTATTCCCCCGGAGAAATTCGAAGATTAGTTTACCGTAAACATTATCCACGTGATAACCTAAAGCGTACAAAATTGCGCACATTTCGAGTAATTGGATATTTTCTCGTAATGGTCAGTTAGTAGTGAGTCCAGTGGATTCAATAAACATTATTGATTAATTCGTTTTACTAAGCCAATGTGAAATAGCAGATCTGATGATACAGAGCTCTGCATGTAACATACGCACAGATTCCAATAACAACTAAACGTTTTGCTTCACTTCTTAATGGAATTCACTCGACCGATAGGGCACAAACCATTCCCCCTCCCACACACACACATACAAGCCTCAACTCGCGCCACAGATGATGTTGTTTTGATGTACTGTTTTGCAGCATTGATATACTGTTTTGTATTCACATGCATTGATGCTTATGTATGCACGGCTTTTCGCTTATGAGTAAAATACTACCGACCATCAACACAGAGGTCAATATCACCTTATTAGTCAAAGTTTGTAAAAAAAATAAGAAACAATTCAATTTACAGTGTATGTGGGTAAACGAAGGGGATTAGACTGGTTGCTTGTATGTTTGAGAGCGATATTCCAAAAAGAAAACAATGCGCATGTAGAGAATGAGTTCGATCAAAAAGAACAACGGAATTCCCCAAATCCCATAAACACCTCCCTAATGCTAACCAGATGAACACTTAATGGAATTGTGGAAACGCATTCAAATGTGTGAAACCGGTTCTGATTGGGTATCACCTAATCAATGTGACCTGGTTACCACCGTGCAGCGTGAATGTAGCTGTGAACAACAGAACAGGACTTAAAGATAGTCATTGGAATGAGCTTATTTGGCGCGTAATAATTATTAGACCAAATTACCGAGAAGTGACGATTGTCGCTCACCTATCTAATTTGGATTTGGAATGATTTTCCGCATTTTGCCCTTCTCTACCCCCCTCCATCATTCTCATGTCTCCATCTTTGTTATCCATACCGAAAGATTTTTATAAACTCCGGGAAATATATGTGTTAGCCATGACTACAAACTTACTTGGATTGATTCAATAAAATCGAGTTATCGTATCGAAGCAATCGCCATTCACATTGGAGAGAAAAACTGAATTAGATGAGCTTCAGAGTGAAGTTGCTTCAAAGTAGTCACTTCCATCCGACTGTCCCTTTAGGGAAGAGTATAAATCGCCGCCGTTCGTGGCGTTTTACTTTACGGCTGCGTGACCTGGACCCTCCACGTTGAGGATGTGAATCGACTTTCTGTATTCGACCACCGATGTCTCCGAAGCATTGCTCGTGTCCGGTGGAAGCACCGGGTGAGTAATGACGAGGTTCGTAGTCGTGTTTTGGGTGAGAATAGTTGTTCTATAACAGAAGTAATTGCTCTACACCGCTTCCGATGGCTTGGTCATGTATTGCGTAAGCCTGACCATCGACTACCTTTCCATGCTCTGTTTGCATGTGCCGGGCAAGGCTGGAAGAAGCGAAGCGGCGGTCAAACCATGAAATGGAGTAGAGGTGTGAAGAAGCTGGCTACAACTTTGGCTTCGGTTGATACAGCCCGCTTTCCAGGTTGGGACCCAAGGGATGAAAATTGTTGTTGATTAGAGACGCTGACAGATACGGCCCAGAATAGAAGTCAGTGGCTGGAATGCTGTACGGTCTGCCTGTCGAAATCCCGTACCCCGTAAAAAACAACAAACACAAAAATACCAAAAAGTGTACGGTGAAGGACACAAAAATTTGTTATCCCAGGTATCTACCATATTGCATTTCCACTTTGTACTGTATTCCAATCAACCTGCCCCTTGTTACTGTTATTGTTATTATTGTTATTGTGGCATTGGTGCCATGTTGTCTAAAAGCAGATGTTATATATATATATATATATATATATATATCGATTCAATCAAATTGAGCAATTGAACAAATGGACAGATCAATAAAGACCCGATAAGATAACGAAACAGCAATCCGCTAAAGGGAAAAGAACAAAGAAACACTGAATTTCCAAAGACGTTGATAGTTCATTACGTGTCAATATAGTGAATGAATAATAAAGAAAAGACGTGATTAGTTATGACGAGATATCCCTCTATTAGTGAGTAACAGCAGCAGCTCGATGCAGTCTTGCCCAACTCATTCACCTTATTGTTGCCGTGATATCACATAAACTATCCCAACTTGGTCCTAACATGATTGAGCCAATAGCACAAGGTGATGACCGTGTTCCATGTAGCTGAGGGATAAGGGGTTTAATTTCCAACCTGAAGGTTCGCGATTCAAGTAATGACAGAGACACAAGTATGCAGTGCTGACGAGTCCCAAACAGAACGGAAGAGCTGCCCAATGCTCCTTGTCTGTCATCACAAATATTTTTGCCGCATATATACAAACTTAACATCCAATTAGTAAAAACATTTATTCTAGCCTCTTGTTTACACTCTAAAGCTGTCCTTTTCTGTTACACGAATTCGTACCTCCTGCTAAAACTCTTAATTTCACTCCTTCTCTCAGTTTTATATATGCTCACTTTTATATATCGTGCCTCCCAGGAGGTCAGTTGCTTGTTTTGACCCAAACGCTTCTTCAACCCAACCTGTGTTCCACTTTTATACAAAGACTATAAGTATTTGTTTTCTCAGTGAACTTCGTAGAAAAGTGTTTTCATGGTTTTTATTTCCTTTGTCCCTAGTCCCCTGTGTTCCACTGTTCAATGAAACAGTTATTACCGTTAATAACTACTATTCTCAGGTAAAAAGCTGTCCAACGGTAAAATAGTCTCTCTCCTACAAAACGTCATTGCGAAGTCAAAAGTAAAATAAATGCAACATTTATAAAGCTTCGGCTGCCAAGCATTTCTTTAATCATATCAAAGCTGAAAGAAAGTAATTCGACGCGTTATTTCCCGATGGAAATCTGAGAACTGGCTACGGCAAATACCTGTGGCAATGGATCTGCGTACATAAGAAAAAAACGGTTGAAACAAGATGCTGAGGCTGTCGATATCTCATTCGTTCATCAATCGCCAGCCACTCCCCCTTCCTACTCGCCACACAATACTCAAATTTTTATGCACAAACTATTGATCAAATTTAATTCCTCCTGTATAGCAGGTCCGGATGGTTTACCTCCGGCACATTTTACATCTTGAGCTACTTTCCCAGTTTAGTTAGTTATCTCCATTGTAAATGAATTGCATTCGTAATGCCAATATTCCAAACTGTTGGGGACATTTCATTTCAAATACATTTGAATTTCCTATCCTCTCCAAACGCTTTTATCCCAAAGCTTTCATACTTGTCACTCTAACTAACTAACTAACTAACTCTAACTAAAAGGATTTCGAAAACGACCAAACCCACTATGCACATTCCTCATGATCCATCACCATTCGTCTATAAGCCAAACGGATCCACTCTGGAGGCAGGCTCTTTCCTTATGAATCTTATCATTAGTTCTTTGAACGACTCAGTCAAATTGTTTCAATATTTTGCTTGACTATTCCTCAACATAACTAAAACTATTCGACGACCTCAACCCGTTCTGCATTAATCTTGTGTTTAGATATATATTGCCAGCTGATCACACAATCGCTTACCGATGTCTCAGTGTCTGAGCTTCATCTATCGTTCGAGGCCTGAGCATCATTTGACCTTGAAAGAGTTCCGCGATGGCATGGACAGATGAAGCCAGGTGACGTGTCAGGCTGGTGATCCAACCTCTGCCAATTATGATTAGGCAACGTAGCAGACAATGAATGAACGGCTGGTTCATCGTGCGTCTGTGGAACCAGTGCGTATCAGTGTGGCGTCTGAAGTCACACGAATATAATTGGTAGATGTGGATGTTTGAAGCGTGTGAAACTGTTGAACACGCTGTATAGACCTAGGATGATGCCACCCCACCATAAGTACTGCTCAATATTGGTCGCACTTAATACTATACTATACTATATTTAGTAAATTAAATCAGTTAGTCACAATTCACAATGAGTGGTAACCTTGGTCTAACGACCATATTGATATCAAACGTCAAAGTGGCAGGGGTATTGCTCATGGTCACTTGTACAACATGACAAAACCAACGGATGAAGCGGGATTAGTAACAAACGAAAATGGGTGGCTGAAAATACTAAAATGAAATTTTGCATGCAGTGATTTCTAACCTGAAGACAGATTCAAGTTGATGTAAAAAACCATATTATCAAAATAAGGACTGGTAAAAAATAGGGGGGGGGGCTGTCTTAAACAGGGAATTCCTTACATGTGGTGACGCGAGACCGAAATGCGTCGTTTTTGTAGTGCGTTTGGACGGATCCAATAGAATGCCATATCTGGAATACTCATAGTTGACCACATGACGCATTTCGGTCGATATGATGCGACGATATTCGTTATTTCCGAAAACCCGTTTTTGATATAGTCCGGATAAGTAACCAGCTAGGCCAATTGGTAACCAGGCATCAAACCAGGTTTGCATCGTTAGAAAGCAACCGAAAAATTGACTGGCAACAGCCAATGAAATTATTTTTCGTGTTTCAATCGCCTGGTCAATTATTTGCGCCGAATGCAGTATTTCCAACGGGAAAATCAGGAGAGAAGCATAAGCTTGAAAATCAGTATAGGCTCGGTCTACAAAAACAGTCTTGATCGTTCCAAAAGGATATTGTGATGCCAAAAGAGCCTCATAGTATTCGATCATCTCGGGAATATGAGAGACGGTATGTTTCATCAGCGGTAGTAGTCCACTCGGACAAAAGTGAGTGGCACCATTTGTGAGTACGGGGTCTGGATAAATGTCAAACGCGCCTACGGCCAGGCCAATGTAAGGTGCAGCAACTGGCTGTGACAGAAAGAAGTGATAGGTTTTATGTTGGAGGTCTTCTGTGTAGTAAGGTGCGTCAATCAATTCACCTGGTGCAACTGCAACCATATCTTCAAAAACAGTGACTTCGATTTTCCAAGTACATGGCTCAGAACAGTCAATGCATGGAAACCAAAGACGTGATGAATTTGGAACTGAGCCAGTGAATGCGTGAACTCCTCGGTCTGCAAGACTTCCTTCACCGGAAGGAACTACGAAGTAGAATCCTGATCGTGGCTTGTTTAATGAGAATTCTAATGTTAATTTTAAAGGTCGACTATTACCAATGAGAGGCCAAAACTCCGGTGGAATCCTGACCGTCACCTCGCCCGCTTCTTTATCCGGATCAGTCATTTCCACTACCGCTGCATGACGACGCTGGAAGCTGTCCAAAGTACGTAATTTGGTATCACGCTTACAAATCTCTAGACTTGGATCGTTCTGGACCACAGGAAGATCCACTGGAGACGGAAGATAGGTTAATTTAGAACCCAGGTATTTTTCACTCGTGTTGCGTTCAAAAGAGTCAATATCGGGATCTGCTGCCTCCAACAAAACACGATGAATACGACACTGTCGACAGTTGACGTGAATCCGGCGGAGATTATTTGTTAAAGGCCAAATGATAAGCTGCGTAAATCCAATTAGAATTCGATGCTCAAAATCGATCTCGGTTATGCACAAGGTTTGATGAGCTAATCTGAACCATCGCTTTGGTGTTTCCAGCTGTTGGGAGCTCGTAAGATCCCCTCCGAATGAGGGCGTCCAGCTTTCACTGCCTAGTTGTTTGAAAAAAACGAAGTACACATAGTAGATTACAAACAATGGCAGTGTTGAAACTTCCGTAGTAATAAATAGAATATAAATCCTCAAATCGACTCAAAACCTGGAGCAAGTCAACTATGGTGCACAAAAATGGTGCAAAGATATGGTGAAAAACCAACTAGGGTGCAAAGACACTCTACAATAAACACGCGACCACAATAACCGCGGGTCTTTCCTGTCTGTGATGGGTAGTTGTAGACATTATAAAGCAGCAGCACGCAGGAATAACGCTTTCATCCATAAAACCACAAACCGAGGAAAGCACACTGATTGGACCAATAAAAAAAATCTTTAGCTTTCTTAGAGTCCCACTTTAACATGGCAAACAACAGAGGAGGTGCATTTCCACAAACACAAGAAATTGTGTAGAATGAATTAGAAAACATGCGCAACATTCAAAGACAAAAGAAACAAGTCATTTCGAAGAAATAGGTTTATAACGAAGCAGGAAATGAAAGCTAACTCTAAAGCACAGTTCTTCAGATAAATGAGTGGAGTGGCACCTTGACCAGGGTATTCAGTTGGGATACACGTGAGCAGGGCGTAGCGGGTATTGCGAACTATCACAACTTCAATTTAATAACTTCGACGTTCATAACACGTACTCAGTTTCAATTTTTACGACCACTAACCATGCACCTTTTTGAGACAGTCTTGGTTACTGTAGTTGGGCTGCCCATTTGAAAAGAATAAAATGAGGATCGGAATGTTGACAGAAGAGTCAAAGAGAAGAACAAGAATTCATATGGATCGGTGTTGCAAGAATCATGTGTATATGCACGAGCGCCACTGTTTCCGAGATTCAGCCATATCAGCCATTGTCTCTAAATTCAGGTTACCGTGATATCGGTGTCTTCATCCAGGAAGCGCAACGCGACCTATGTGACCCGGTGTCCTGGTTAGGGTTTCCATACCCTCATGCCAGGTCACAGTTTGACCGCCCTTGACCTTTGTCGATTTACTGCATGCCTCAGAAGACAACACGCGCTGTGGCAATCTATTTGGTGACATGCATGATACATGTGCCAACCAACGTGATCTATGGAAGTCGACCACTTGATCCAGTGAGCGAACGNCATTACCTAAAACTCTGCGTTTAACCTCAGCACTGATCGTCCGATTGCCGCACCAAATTCGTGCAGTGCGGCGTAGACAGCGGTGTTCAAACATCGACAATCTATCTTAATCTTGTTTTCTTAATGGCGAAGTTTCTGCGCTGTATAGCAGAACTGACCGAACTGCTGCAGTACATATTCAACCCTTCGAAGACATCCGGATGTCGCGACGGCGCCACAGATATCTCAAGGTAGCAAATGACAACCGAGCTTTCTGTATGCGTGCCGACACTTCATCTGTGGTGCGTCCGCCAGGTGAAATATAGCTGTCGAAATAACAATATTTGTCCACTTCCTCTACTATCTCTTCAGTCAGAGTGAGGTTGGGAACTGGACCAACCCAATCTTGTAGTAGCATTTTACACTTTGAAAGTGTCTAATGTGTACCGAAAATGGCTACATTAGCACTCGAACTACCCTGCAAAGCTTGCAACTTACCTGACTCATCACTTAGTAGCACTATGTCATCTGCATACTCTAGATCAGACAGTCTGCCACCTTGAAGCAAATCGATCCCGCTATCCTCGTGCGATATGGCTGTTTCAGGAATCAAGTCTATGATAGGAATCACCGTTACGCTCTACAGAGAAGCCCCTTAGACGTGGAGCAGAATCAGTTGCTCCACTGAGCAGCCTACAGTGACCTTTCTATTAGTATTCTCAGCCATGCTAGTGACCATACCCGTACTCCAGATCCATTCGTCACATCAAAACCGCATTTATTTTCCACAATTTCTTCCTTTGCGAAACTGGGCTCTTCGGAACATTATCTAATTCTATTTTTTATTCAATTTCCCCGTTTCACTCCTCTACGCAGTTCCAGACGTACATTCTGGCTATACTATTCCGCGGATTAATGTTACTTTCGTCAATTTCTGGCTTATTGATTTTGAAATGACTGTTGTTTTTCTGCCCATGTCTTTACCAAATTTCCTCCAACTTATTTTGCAATGAATGCACTTAATTATTCAACAATTTTCCTACCCCTGAAAACTTCGCCACAAAGGTTTAACAACACCCGTCATCTTTTTATATATTTCATTCTTCTGAGTCAAATTGTGCTAAAAAACAACAATGCAGATATCTTTATAGAAAAGAAAACCATCTATGATTTGTTTGTGGGTGCGATACGATTAGGTTACCCAGTCTAAAGCAGGTGAATTTTCTAGGAGAATTCACAACCAGAGCCTTCGGCTATCCAAAAGCCTGACCCCCAAGGTAGCGGGTGGTGTGTGAAAACCATAGTCCATTGGGGTCTTGTTTCTAGTTCATTGGATCATACGTCTTTTGAACGGGGTTAAATGTCCAAAGTGCCCAGTCGAGCCCGTGACCACTGGCATAACCAAGATGGTGTGATTTATACGTCTCTCCTTGGTTGGTTTGGAATCAGGCGGTTTAGCCGACTCCCCTAGGTGAATTGTCGGTGGTTCACTGACCCGGTTATAGCCCAGAATAATAGTTTTCGCTCTCACTTTGGTGGAAATACACCTCCGCCAAATGGAGACAGTGAATAAGGCCTCCTCAGCAGAGACTATTTGAGACGCTTGATCGTGCAAGAGCAGTTAACGAGGCGCAAGGGAGGGGTGACCAGCTAAAATCCGAGACACCCACCTCGAAACATACTGAGGCTTTTGGAGGCTTTTCATTACACACAGAGCAATACACTAAAATAGGTAACCCCATAAGCCAAGAACTTACCGTACCAGTGATGGCAAACGGAATACTCAAGCTAGAACCAGCATGTTGATTCTGCGTTTCGAGATAAGGATGTTATAAGCTGAAGGAGAGACCGAAAGGGGGAAAGTGTTCCACAGTTGTGCTGTACTAGGGGAAAAGAGATAACTGAAAGTTAGAAACGTGATAGTTGATGATAGTCACTTGAAAGAGATGTTTGCCATTCCTAGACGCGGTAGCCCCGTCTCTCTCACATCAGTCATCTCAAGGATTATGGAATCAGTTACTGCTGATCACTTCCACTAGTGCATCGACTCAATGTTCTCGCAACCTCAGTCTTCATCAGTTTTCTCTTTTCACCCCAACACTGATTTAAACATTTTACTCTTCCCTTTACTTACTTACTTCTTAGAAATGGACAGTCACCCAACAGAAACCAAAACCGGCGCACGAAAATGCATGGTTGATGGTTGGAAAAACGGAAATGGAAACCTCTTCAGACACCTGGAGTAGAACAAGGTGCTTGACGACCATCGACCTACGGGTGACCTCGCCTCCAAATACCTTGGTGCGGTCGGGAGTGGGTGTTTCGGGCTCCGAAATGACCATTCGTGGTGGTGGTGGGGCAGTGGTTTAACCGATGTCACCGGCGTGCTTTGGACCCTATGATCTGAGATCCGAGCCCCGCCACCGCCACCCGACTTTGGCGGTAGGCAGCTCTGCTGTCGCCCGGTTTAATACCACGCCTAACCTATCGGAGCCTTATGTGGTTCGCCACTCCCGGGGCTTAGGTTGCCGGTTTTCACCACTGAACAGCAGGTCCTCGTCACTATGGGGTTCGCCCCGTCCGCTGTTCATCATCGTTAGGTGTAATAAAATAAAAATAAAAAGCTCCTCTAGAAATGATCATAAACGACCAAAGGCCTTCCGCTGATGAAGTCCTACCCACTGCTTTCTCGTGGCGGAGGTGTTAGCACTAAAGCGGGAGGGCAAAGGCGAGTGCCAGGCGCTTTCCAGCAGGTTGACTGACCAGTGGTGG